GACCCTCTCCATGCTCGGGGTGACACCGGCGGCGCTGCGCAGGGCGCCCGCAAAGTTACTCGGGCCACCTTTGCCGGGTGCGGGTGGCCGGGCCGAGCACCCCAGCCTCCCAAGCTGCCGAGCGCGTACCGGCCGGGAGGGCGCTCGGCTAGGGCGCGGGGCGCGGGGCGCGAGACTCGGGCTGGGGCCGCGAGGTCAGCGAAACTTTTCGCCTGCTCGCCGGGCGCTGCTGGCTGCTGGCGGAGTGGCCGGTGGAGAAGCGGGCCAGTGGGGTGCGAGTGGCAATGCCCGTGGTAACAATAGCAGCTGCTGGCGGCGGGGAGCCTACTGTGCGCCCCTGAAGCCTCTGTGGGCACTTGGCGGGATGCGGGAAATGCTGGTCTAGTGACCACTTCTGCTAGGCATTGCTGGAAACTTCATCCCTTTCCGTCCACCCACCCACCCATCCATCCATCCATCCATCCATCCGCCCATCTACCCACTCACTCATTCACTCAACACATCTTTACTGCTGTCTGCTGTGTCCCCAGCTGGGGATTCAGTGACTAACCAGACAAGTCCCAGGCCTCAAAGGCAGTATTTCACGGGCTGCCCGTGCTAAGGAGCGGCTCTGTCTCTTGTGTATTTATTCGGGGACTTTATAGGAGGCAGATTCATGCACAGTGAATTCTCCCTGGGCCTGGGTAGGGACGGAGGGGACACTGCTGTGCCCAAGGGGCAGCTAGCCTTGGAGTTCAGAACCCACCCTCTGGGTGCAGGCTGGGTGGCCCAGTGGGGTGAGGAGCGCCCGTCCCCCCACCTTGTCCAGCTGACCTTTCCGGTGCCTCTTTCCTGGAGCTGGGCTGGCGCCTCTCCCAGCACCCCCAGCACCCGTCTGAGAGCTTGGCTGCCTCCGCCTCCCTATTCCCAGTGAATGGCTGGAGGAGGGTTTGCTAAGTGGAAAACAATCACGAAATTAAACCAGGGGAACAAAAGTGAATGCCTGAGCTGGCTGGACAGCAGTTGAATGGTGCTGGGACTTGTTAGCCGGGGTCTGCCGCAGTGTGTGTGTGCCCGTGGGGGTCGGCCGGACACTAAGGCCATCAACACCTGACTGGCCTTGGCTGAAGGGAAAGGAAATGCAACCAACTTGCTGAGTGACCTCTCACACGGCTACTTCCAAAGAGAACACTGGCTGAGCGCTCCGTCCCAGCTGGAGGCCGGGCCTTGGTCGACAGGAGGCCATTCGGGGAGGGGGCCTGGGGGCTCGGCTGGGCTGAGGCAGGGGAGAACACGCCAGAGCTTTGGAGCTGTGGAGCTGGGGATCAGTGTGGAGCAAGACGCAGTCTACAGGGGACGCCTGGGTGGGAGCCATGCATAACAAACCGCTTCCCGACGCCCAGCTCCCGGCAAATTGGCTTTCCGAGTGGCAGCCCCTCAACACTTGTAAAATCTTTTTTCTCGAGATGGATTTCGGTGAAATGGTTAGAGCTCTTCCAGTGCTCGCTCGGTGGAGGTGCGTTAATTGGCTGATGGCTACTCAGAAGGCGGCGAGCCAGAAGGCACCCAGGCTTCATGGAGGGTTCCACAGTGGTGCGGCGTGGGGCTGCCTCTGTTTCCTCCACCGGCCCAGGAATTTCAGAAGGCCTGGATGGAATCAGACCCCTGTAATGCTGCTACGTCACCTGCGTGGGGGATGAGGTACTTGGGATATCACCCCCGTGTGCTGCTCTTAGGACCTCTCACCTGCTGTGGCTGATGCCCAATGGATTGTGTTTATGGACAATAAAACAGGTCTAGGTTTAGGTGAAAGATGGGGATTTGGGGGTGTTTCTCCTAGTGCCCAAAGTACATGAGAAACACATGGACGGAAGTGACTAAGGCTGTTTAGTTTCCCTTGAACTTGCTGCCTGCCCTGCCAGGCTAGGGGTGGTGGTGGTGGTCCCTCATGTGCCCCCCCCCCCATAAGAACCATCTCTTTATCCATTGGAGGAAGTGTGGTTGCTGGATTTCATGGAAGGGGAGCCTTCATGGAGAAAAATCAGCATTTTGGATACAAGTTCTGGACTTGGAAAAGAAAAAGAAAATCCAGCCTAAAGCGCAGTCATCTTTTAATTTATCAGAGTGCCCCGGCTTTTCCGATCCTAGCCCTGTGACTGAGCGTGAGTTGGGAGGCAGAGGAAATTAATCGGCCAGGCAAAGACTTTTAACAAGTAAATATTATGCTCAGAAAGAAATGCAATTAATGGAGGTTAGTTAATGCCTTTCAAGTCGCTGGAGCTGTAGTTAAGGGTGGAATTTCGGCCTTATCCCTGGATTGTCTGTCAAAATCTTTAAAGTGACAATGTGACATGTCTCAACCACCACCCCTCTCTTGCCAGGAACAAAAAAAGGGTCTTTGCAGGCACCCCCCCTTTTCCATTCATCTGCTCCTGAGATCTTTCCATGTGACGGGGGTACCTTTGTCTGCCTGCATCTCTGAAGTGGAGCACCTGGGGGACGGGGCTCCCCAGCTGCTGCCAGCCAGGAGTGGGTTCCCAGTTATGCCGTGTACCCACAGATCAAAGGTGCTGGCCCCTCAGATGAGACGCTGGCCTGCTGGTGGGGTCTCCCTTCTGCTCCTCACCCTCTAAGGGCAGATGCATCTTTGGCCAACCCTGTAGCTGTGGTTCCTGTGTGTGACCGTGCCACCCCCTGTCACTGCCGGCCAGCCTCCTCTCCAGACTGCGACTAGAATTGTTTGCGTCTGAAGAGGTGAGTAAAGTGTAAAAAAAAAAAAAAAAAAAAAAAACTAGGGAAAAGGTGAAAAAATTAAGAAGCCCCTCCCTGGGGGAGATATCAGATGAAAGGGTTTCCCCAGTTAATTCGCTGTGGCTCCCCCACGACCTGACCAGTCTGCAGCCAACGCAAATATTTTACTTTCTTTTGACATTTCCCCCAGTAATGAGACAAGATTTAGCTATGCTCTAATTCCACTTAAAATACCTGTGGCCGATGTGGCAGCCCAGTCTCCTAAAACAATCTGAACACATGGAGATTGTGTGTATTAATTTTGAGCCCAGCGCGGCTCGCCATGTCCCCGGGTCTTTCTGTGCCTCTCTGTGAATTGCTCTTTGGAGGGCTTTCTTGGATATGAGCTTGGGCAGCTTGATGTCAGAACCCCATCGTTTCTTACGAACAGAAGCGGCTGCAGTTTAAAAAAATAAAAATAAAAATTCTCCCCTCTAGTGGATTGCGAACCTCATTGGGTTCGGAGCCAGGCGTGAGGAAGTTCCCCCTCCCGGCACCTGCGTCTACACCTGAAAGTTTATTTCTGCACTGTAACTTGTCTGTGGTGCACATGGAAACTCGGTCGGCCTTGCCCGTGCTAATTTCAGCACTTTCGGGAGAAAATGATGCCTGCTTTCGGTCCCCCACAGTCGTCGGTTCCATTTCATTCTTTCGAATTTTCCACACAGCACTGCAGCCTGCCAGGCTACAGCATACATCGCTCGGGCGATGTATCTACTTGAGAAATGTGAGCCCTTCCCCGCACCCTACCCCACCCCCAGCGCAGCCCTTCCTGGCGTCTTGAGTGCGTGGAAAAGGCGGATGCTCCCCCGGTCCCCTGAATGCGTGGACAGTGAGGGTGGGGACCGGAGGAAGGAGTTTTGCTTTTGTAAGTTTGTCATGCAGGCATATTAGTTAATTAACCATACTTCGGAGGCTTAATCTTTAATTGCAAATTCCCTATGACCACACACACACACACACACACACACACACACACACACACACGCACAAAAATACACTTGAGCTGATCATAAATGTGGCCAAAGCCCAAAGGCAGAGCAAAGGGTAGAGTTACCCTGGTGCTGAGCTGACTGTGCTCCCGTGGCATCTGTTTCATAGATTTCCACGGGGGCTGGAAGTCCATGTTGACTTTCTTTGCAAACTGAATTTGCATGCTGAGCCCCTGAGACGGGCTTGCCGCTCCTCGTCCCCGGCCAGGTCCGTCCCCAGCGCCGTGGCTGCTGAGGGCCGGCCTTCGGGTGAGCGGGGAGGGGATGCAGATTGCTGACTCGTACACACTGGCCTCTCACTTCCTTTCGAGTGGGGCAAGTCTGTGTGTGTGGCTGCGCCGGATCCGAGCTGCTTGCCCTTCTAACTTGGCAAGATGCACGCGTCTCCACCGGCTTTATTTTGAAAACTAGGACATAGCACTTTGCAGAGGAAAATCAGTCCTCTCACTATTATTTATGTGATTGCTGGTCTGTTAAATGGATATAGAAAACACCAAGAATTATTATAATGCATGGAGCGGAGCAGGGGTTCGCACGCACATTTCTCTGCCTGAGCTTGTGGGCTTCTCTGCGCCTCCGGCCGCCGTCTCTGCAGTGGAAAGAGAACATATTCAGAATCTGAAGACGAGCCCAGTGCGCCGACTGCATTCGTGTCTAAAATTAAGGGAATAAGTGAGCAGCTATTTGTGGCAGACAGGACATGATCCAGTAAGTAGCACTCTTCATCATTCTGAAATAAAAGTACCTGTAATTGGAAAATGAAGCTACGGCAACTGTGTGTGTGGAGGGGTTTTGAGGAATTAGAATGTGTAATTTAAAATCATGTAGTCATAATTCAAAATGGGTCCGGCTAAAAGGTTTTTAAGTGGTAAATGCTTTAAAGTCACTTGCAGTTGATCCTTTCTCAAGGAATATGGGCTAATTTTCACTATATTTGTGGAATCCTTCAGCTACTTAGCTCATCAGCTCATTCAATGGAGCCACTAATTCCAGCTGCCGGCCAAAATTTGCTCTCTTGTGGAAGCCCCAGCGGCTTAAGAGGGAGGTCAGATGCAAGACTCCATCCGTGTGGGACATTTGGGGACTGGGCTGGATATTATTTTCTCCTTGGAGCTGATGGTCCTTTTCCTTTCCTTTGGGTTCTTCTGTTTATTTTACTGGAAATTTTTTTTTTTTTTTTTACCCTTTGTAGCATTTTCAGCTATCAGCTCATCAGCTGCATAATTTTTGGCACAGGCAAAACAAGCAAAGAAAACATAATTTAAAAGTGATTTTTGAGCTTGTCTGGGGAATAAGGCTCATAAAGGAACTGTTCTCCAAGCCCCTACCCCTTGGTGTTTTTCTGTCGTAATCTCCCGCATTTTCCCAGGGCAGGTGAGGGGGCGGTGTATGTGGGGGTCGTCCTGGCCTTTCTGTGACTTTTTGCCACACCGCAGCATCTCTCCCTCTGTAAGCAGTGGCTTCCTGCGTGGCTTCCTGGCTCGGCTTTGCTCTGAGCCCTAGGCCTGAAGATAACCAGGTGTGCACTGGGCCGGCCCTGCCGGCAGTTACGGCTGCAGAGAGGAGGCAGAGTGGAGATGGGGCTGGCACCCTGGCGACAGCTTCCCAAGTGTTGGGCTCTTGCAGAGCTGCAGCTGGGAAGGCCCCGGCGATCTCCTGTGTTTAATCAGACAGCTGTCCCCGTGCGGTCACTGATTGCCACACAAGCTCTGGACTGGGACGGCATACTGTCCTCGCCTCCCAGTTATGGCTAAAGACGTTTCCGCTCGTGGAGGAGAAACACTGATGGCTTGTGGGGGTGATGACTGTCAGCGCCTCGCTTTGGCTGTGGTCAGAGTGACCGAACCACAGCACTTCTGAGAGCCTGAGCGGATGTGATAACCACGGCACCGGGTCCCCTCACGGGGACTCCAGGAGGGCTGCTGATCCCTCCCACGGCCAGTTTCACGTCTGGGTCACATGGCCCAGAGGAGGCACGTTGGGCGGTCAGTGGCCAACCGGTGCCCTGCAGTCCCTAGAAAGCTGGGTGTGCTCAGCCACAGTACCCTGGCAAGCAAGACCACCACGACTGACCCAGCATGAGATGGGGGAGAGGGACCTGGGGCCCCCGGGGCTGGAGGCAGGGCGGGGGCTCGAGTAACACTGGAAAACCTCCGCTCAAGCCTCGGAAAAGCAGGCAGAGCTTCTGGGTTCCACAGAACCTTCAGCCTCAGTGGAAGAGACATTTAACGAGCACCCACTGTGTGCGTGGCCCTCGTCTGGGTGCTTCTGCACCTCCTGCCTCCCCTAATCCCACGTCTGCAGGAGGCAGGTCTAAATCTGGGCTGTCGGAATCCAGGGCCTGTGTGGTTTCATTCAATTTTTTACTCATTCATTCCATTCCACCCCACTTCATTCATTCATTCACTCACTCACTCACTCATTCATTCATCATTTTGATCTTTGGCTTCCCGCTCAGCTCAGCCCCGGACACCCACCTGTACTGTGAGCGTGGTAAGGGAGCCCTTTGCATGTGGGCGAAGGTGCCTCACCCAGCAGGGGAGGCTGGGGATGGTGTTGACAAGCTGTCTTGGGTCCAAAGAGGTGTGAGCCAGGAAAAGGGCACAATCACGGGGCGGGGGTGCTGCGAGGGGCCCTCCAGGCCAGGGGCTCAGCCCTCGCAGGGTTCCCGTGAGGGTTTCTGGGCCGGGAGTGAGGGTGTCCTGAGGGGGTCGGTGTCCAGCAGGCACCAGTGGGCGCGGTGGACTTAGGATGCTTCTCCTGGGGTTGGTGTGGTACAGCCGTGGAGACAGAACCGAAGCCAGCCGCTTCAGAGAAGGAGGGTGGGGCCTGGAGTTGGACCTCTTTCCTAGACATCTGCACTGCATATAGTCGGTGCCTAATGGCTGCATGCTTGTCTCTGTCTTGGGTACACTCAGGTGCCCTTTTGAGTGCCCAGGCCTTAGTGGACTCCTGGCATCTAAGGACCAACCAGAAGATGCCTTGGAGAGGAAAGCAGAGACCATTGGGATGAAGGGTAAGATGCTGGGTGTGGTAGTGCAGGCCTGTAATTCCAGCAGTTTGGGAAGCTGAAGCAGGAGGATCACAAGTTTGAGCCCCGTCTGAGCAAATTAAAGACCTGTGAGACCTTGTCTCAAAAATAAGAAAAGGGCTGGGGCTGTAACTCAATGTAAAAGTCCTGGGTTCAAATCCCGGCACTGAAAGAGAGCGTGGCAAGGGGTAGGGAGAGACAGACTCTGGAAAACCAAACGCCACAAAGCAATCAGGTGTTCAATTCCTGCTGGGCTGGGGGGGCGCCTGGAGCAGACTCACTCTGTCCCTGTTAGCCCAGGAAGAGACACAGAAGCGAAGAGCACTTAAGTGACCTCCCAGAAGCTCAGCACAGCGGCCCTGAGAGTGAATTTGAACCCCGTCTCCTGGGACATCAAAGTCAAGCTCTCTCCTGTTGAGGAAGCATGAGGGCAGACCATAACAGCAGAGCAACGAAGGCAAGGCGAGGCTGTTATTGCTATGGTGCCCCTGGGCCTTTGCACCTGCCATTCCTCTGCCTTGGTCCTCTGTCCCTGGCCTGCTCCTCTCATCCTTCCCATATGCAGGGTGGTGCCTGTGCAGCTGGGCCTTTCTAATCCTGCAGTTTTGAGCAGTTCCATTACTCCTCACCCCACCACCCTGCTCTGACTTCCTGCAGGTGCCTGTCACTACCTGAGCACTCTCTTCCTGTCCCCTGGGGTTTATCCTCCTCCTCCTGTTCCCAAGGGACCACTGTGCTCTGCCACCCTTTCTGGCAAGGAGCGTAGCACCCGTGTGTGGCTTCTGGAGAGTCCTTCCCTCCCTCCTTCCTTCTGTCCCTCCTTCCTTCCTCCTGTCCCTCCCTCCTTCCTTCCCTCCTTCCTTCCTTCCTTCCTCCCTCCCTCC